TGGGCGCCTGCCTCCCTTTGTGGATGGCACCCTGGCTCGCCCTGCTCTTCGCTGTCTCAGACCTGCTATTTCTCTTCTGCTTCCTGCCGGAGACACTGCCCCCAGAGAAGCGGGTACGGAGGAACCCAGAAACCACCTACAGGTCCCGGACCCAGGGGTTCGGTTCCCTGGGCATGTAGGGAGCCTGTCCCGGGTGCCGGTCCTGGGTGCCAGGGGAGGCCAGACAGTCCTCTCCTGGTGCCCAGAGGCTCTTGGGGACACAGTGCCTCCTGGGGTCCCTATGCTTCCCAGCCCCTGCCTCTAAGGCCTGGTAGGTGGGATGGAGGCCAGGCGGCTGGTCATGCCCCTCCCCGGGCTGCCCCCCAGGCCCCCAGTAGCCTCTCCAGTTCTGCCCCCTCCAGGCACCCTCCCTCACCCTGGGCTTCCGAGCTGCTGCTGACCTGCTCAGTCCCTTGGCCCTGCTGCGCTTCTCCGCTGTGGCCCATGGCCAGGACCCACCCACTGGAGACAGTAAGGAGTGGCCCCTCATGAGGGTGGAGCTCCACCGGCTGCTGTTGGGCGGTGGACCCCTCATGCCCTTGCCCGCTGCCCCCCAGGGCTCAGCCACCTGCGCCGCCTGGGCCTGGTCTACTTCCTCTACCTCTTCCTATTCTCGGGCCTGGAGTACACGCTGAGCTTCCTCACACACCAGCGCTTCCAGTTCAGCAGGTGGGAGTGCGGGCCCTACAGGGAACCCACCCAGGGACGCCCTGCCCTCTCCCCATCCCCCGGGCCCAGCCTAGGAACCTGGGGTGGGCAGGGGTTGTCAGCGAGTCCCCTGGCTCCGCTTGGCAGAGCAGGGGCGCAGCCGGCCAGCAGGGCTGGGGCGCTAAGGTTCCCGCCCTCCCAGCCTGCAGCAGGGAAAGATGTTTTTCTTCATCGGCCTCACCATGGCCACCATCCAGGGCACCTATGCCCGGCGGATTAGCCCCGGCGGGGAAATTGCAGCTGTGAAACGGGTATGGGGTGCCCCTGGAGGGGGTGGGGGGTGGTCTCCTGAGCTCTGCTGGAAGCAGGAGTGGGGCCTGAGGTCCACTGTGTCCCGCTGCAGGCCATCCTGCTGCTGGTCCCCGCCTTCCTCCTCATCGGCTGGGGGCGCTCGCTGCCTGTGCTGGGCCTGGGGCTGCTGCTCTACTCCTTCGGTGAGTGGGCCTGCCAGGGCCAGAGGGGCACGGCGGGGGCTGGTGGCCACAGATCCCTCCAGGTCACGAGCCCCCTCTCCTCTGGGGTGACGGTGCCTCGCTCATGTCCCCCATCAGCTGCCGCTGTCGTGGTGCCCTGTCTGTCCTCCGTGGTCGCCGGCTATGGTGAGAAGCCCTTCCTAACCAAGGCCACTGGAGGGGGGGGTGGGGGGAGCAGCCAGCAGGCACCTGAGGGCCCCTTCTTCCCTGCAGGCTCGCCTGGGCAGAAGGGCACAGTCATGGGCACGCTGCGGAGCCTGGGTGCCCTGGCCAGGGAATTGGGGCCCATGGTGGCCGCCTTCAGGTGAGGCTGTGATGTGCCCTTGGGGAAGCCAGGCCTCGGGGGCTGCTGGGACCCTGATGGGGGGCCTCCCTCAGCGGCCTGCATCTGCTCCTGCCTC